TGCTGGTTCCAAAGTCTGGCATCATATAAGCCTCTCCAAACAGCCTTCAAACTCTGATTTCCTCCCCTCTTTTTTTTTAAAGTGTACAAACTACAATTTGTAAATCTCTTCTTTTCCCTTTTAGTTGAGGGCCTGACAGGAAGCTGATACAAATTAAAATAACAAAAGATCCCGGCAACATCTACTTGTCAATAATAAGAAATTAAAGCATTACTCTACTGAGTCTAGGGCTGACCTAATTTCCTACCATACAATTTAAATTTTCTCTCACCTTCTTTAGTTTCAAGTAGTGTGCAAGGTTATTATAACCGCCTCAGAGCTGTTCCTGCTGTCAGTGCTGGAATAATCAGACTTATTGAAATTGCTTTTTTAGTTTCTTAAAAACAAACATTAAACACTTATAGAAAGTAACAAATTTCTACGCTCTTGCCGGGAAAATGGCAGTTGCCTAATTAAAATAAGATTTCTTCTGCCACCAGTGTTATTTGGTACTGAAAATATTCCAAACAGCCTTGATCTTGGACTTCCAGGTGCCAGGACTGTGAGAAAAGGAAAAGCCACCCATAAAAAAAAAAAAAAAAAATCTTTCCATTACTTCCCAGGGGAGAAAGTAATCGCTATGCAGATATAAAAAGGTAGCATTCTCTTGTGATTTGCAGAGGATTAGAGTTTGGCTTCATATATAATGTGGAGCCCATTGATCCACACACACAAAATCATTTCCCTTTAATCTGGGGATCTGACTTGTTCTAGAGGAACCTTGGCATTTGCATTCTGAATGTTGAACTTGGCTTGCATTGCTGGAATACTGGCAGGGTGGGAATGGGAAAATTTATTTAAAAGTTTCTGCTACTGTGGGGAGGGGGTTTAGAGGGGTCGGTGTCAATCAAAGCCATCAGAAATCCTATTCTAGTCCCATTTTCTTTTACCCTGGGCTATTGAGCATTTTATTCTGCTTGGCTCCAGCCAGGGCAGATGATTGCCTCGGTGACTGTTCCAGCTGTTACTTGTCCTCGTTCTATTTGCTTTTTAGGGCTTAATTCCCACCCACCCTCAACTTTGGCCAAAGCAATTTCACTTCAGGGTCGTGTCCAATCCAAGATCAAACAATGATGACTGAAAGCAATTCCACAGTGATCAAGGGTCAGAGACCTTTCATATAACCGTGTTGTTTCATTTGCTCTTCCAGCTTCTCCAAGAGCAATTGTAGCCTCCAAAGAAGGGATTTTGGCACAAAGAAATAAAAGAAAATCTAGGCAAAAGAGAAAAGGTGATGAGGGGTGACAAGGAGAGGTGACAGGGATAAAGAAGCAGAAAGACCAGGAAGAGCTTGTTGGCCAAGGAAGTATGTAGATTCCACTTAAAGACTTTGGTTCTCCACTTAAATCAGATGGATTTTTTTCATGTTAAAGCATTTTATAATTAATAATATGTCTCCCTCAGGCAACTAAACCCCTTTGATTTAGGCTTCGAACTTGGCAAATTTAACTGAGATAAACAAAGTGTCCTGCCCTTTTCACTGCCACGATCGGCTCGGGAATGACAAACTTTGCTTCAAGACGAGCACCGACACCTGGAGAAATGCGAGAGACGGACACTCAGAAATGCCTC